TTGGTGAGGCTGTAAAGAACCTTAGGGACATCATACCAGAAGTCCTTGCCTTTTATGTTCAGTCTGGATGCTACACTGTTGTTTGCTGTTTCAGTATTGGAAAAGGCACTGCACTAAAAGTTCTAAGAAGTGAGTATTCTTTGTTTCTTCTGGATTAGTAAGATGCAACAGTGGCAACATTGATTAAACAAGCAACAGCATTCATGGCAGCATGCTATGGGCAAAATAATGATCTGTGATGCAATGGCGAAATCTTGACTGAGTGTGTGGGCAGCAAAACCTGGCAAAGGGTATTTACATCAATACGGAAACTATGGTCGCTATCACCAACTAGTTAAGCTTATATGTAAAATGTTAAACGTGCACACCATCAAGCCGCTGTGTGGTGCACTCTGAAGAATGCCGATCCCGAGACTTGACGCTGAGAAACTTGGATGGAAGAAATATTAGTCAAACAGATCACTTTTGCCGATCACTCTCCCGGAAAAGTGCCCCTTTCATCAACTAGTGCTCCATCAAGTGCGGGTGTGGGGGCGAAACACCTTGTGTATCATCCCGGTGTGGTTACAACAGTGCCAAGCATCGTGCGTGTAATAATAATAATAATAATAATAATAATAATAATAATTAACGGTTTATTGAGAGAGCTTGGCAGCCAGAAGGCTGAAAATATACAGTTACATATTTGGGGAATGGGTTTCGAATTACAAATAATATACAAGTGACATAAGTGATACAAATAAGATATATATAATAACTAGATAGGGAAAAGCTCAAACTACAGTTCATTTCAACATAGTGACAGTGCAAGAAGTAGGATTGACTGGGAGTGAATACACTGGTTTATTACAAGTTATTGATCATTTTTACAATGGTTGGGACTGGGCTGTTCTTATAGCGATCAGTTTGTGCACGTATGGGCTGGATGCGGTTGTGGTGTCGAACAGCAATTCTCGGGCTAGGGATCTCAGGTGGTAGTAGGAGCCGGTTTCGAGGATAGTGTAGAAGCTTCTTACCAAATTTGCAGATGAGGTCGTGGTGATGGTCAGTGAGAGTCGAAAGGGTCAGTGTGTTGAGCGCTTCTTGATATGTGGAGTAGGAAGGGGAGAGAATAATCTTGCATGCCCTCTTTTGCACTTTTTCTAGGTGTTTACGTTGTGTGGCATGATGCAGTTTACTGTACCACACAAGACGTATGGATGATGACATCATTATAATGCAATTTAGCAGTAGATGTTAATGATACTGAAACAGTTTATTTTGCCAGATAAATACATATACAGAGTGGATAATAATAATAATAATAATATTGACAAGACTGAGCCTATTGAGAGCCTGAGCTCTCTTAGCGGCACCTGATATATACTGTACATTTATCTCAAGGAAGTATTATGTAACATTTAGTAACATCTGGAATAGTACACATAACATGGTGGTAGTAAGAACATATCACAATGTTACCACGGTTATCACTTCTTATTTATTATATTTTATTATATATTATATTATATTATATTATATTATATATTATATTATATTATATTATATTATATTATATTATATTATATTATATTATATTATATTATATTATATTATATTATATTATATTATATTATATTATATTATATTATATTATATTATATTATATTATATTATATTATATTATATTATATTATATTATATTATATTATATTATATTATATTATATTATAAGTATATACATATTATATAGTAGAGTTGATATACATTAATCTGATAAGTGAGAAGTAATACAACACGGGTTGTGTTAAGGTGAAACACGAGGACAGACAGTCAGTATCCTGTCTTGACGGCAAATATATAATTATTCAATGGTAATTTCTACCTATCTCCTTGACAATATATGATATAATGGTTTTAATGGTGCAATAAAAGTAAGAGTATAAAGTAAGTGTTACAAAACTATTAACATAAGAAAGTTTGTCATTTTGTTTGTCATGAAGAAATTATTGTTTATGATGAGGTGGTGATATAATTTAAACTGATCAAAGTTTTTATTCATGAATTATAAAACTGAATTCTTCGCTTATGTCAATTGCAATATACTGCACTGTATAATATTTTGTTGTGCTCCACAATGTTACACAAAGTATGATTAAATAAAATGTTTAGCTTTATTATTTGTTGTTTCAAATATATAATACATTACGTGTTCGTTCAGCTAGTTAGTTCCTCCAGTAGACAACACACGGCTGGTGAACCACGAGGAGGCGGGGGAGTGGGTGTTTTAACTGACGCTTAGTTTGTGTGAAGTATTATAACATTATGAACTGCAACATAAAGTTGACTCCGTGATTCCTTATAAATATCCAATATACTTAGTGATAAGTATATAGTATCGCGATAAACAATGGACTTTATGCCCCAAAAGGTGCTTCATAATTTTCACGTCAATTGATCAGGATATATTTCAAAATTCTCAAGTTTGACCTGATGTCACCTGGTAGTTTTTGAAGTACAGAACCTAGTCTTAAGGCGCGTCCGGACCGAGCGAACAAGCAATAGCGAATGTTCGTTCACTTTATGTGGTCGGAGGTTCGAGCACGTTCGACCGTAAACGAGTACATACGAAAGTGATACATTCATGCCGTTGGCCTGTTAGTGGTCCGTAGATATGGACACGGATTGGTTTTGGTCTGTGCTCGTGTTGTTGACATCGAGTAAAGGTGCATCCTGATCTTACAAACGAACAAGCAAAGGCTAGTTCAGTAGCGCTTGTTCACGCTTGTCATTGTTCATTCACTAGGACTGGAGGCGTTTTTACATGATCAGTAACACAAAAAAAAAATTGAAAACCAAAATGTCCTGTCCGAATTTACCATTTGGCCGCCGGACTACGTGACAAAACACAACATCCCCCCCCCACCCGCCCCCTATCGAGTATTACAACACGATACTTAGATTGTGAGTTGAACATATTCTGGTGTATAACAATGTTCGATTTATTTGATTATAGCGGGTGTAACGAACGGCGGGGGGGAGGGGTGAGGGAGGAGCTGCTCAGTCGCCAGAAAACAGCACCTTCCTATAGTCTGTACGAGCTTCCAGTACTACCAATACAATATACACGTAGGGTCTTGTCAAAAAATATCTGTTACATATAAAGAATACACTGAAGCAGTTAAGTTACTCATGGATAGTTCAATAAAGCGAATAAAGACGTAAAAACAAGTGCTTCATCATCCTACCAGGTAAGATTATATGTTGTTTTGATGCTCAGGTCCTCAGGTTCCATTGTAAACCTTCACCAGTCACGGGATGTAAGAACTTAATCAATTTGCTATGGACATAATTATGATATACAGGAAGGTCCGGTGCAGGCTAGTAAAGCAATGCTACAATGATCTAATAGCTCCACTGTCTCCATTTATGCCTGAAATAACTCTCTAAATTAATTTCTCGTAGATTTAAACCTCATTTCTTTTTTTAATCTTCGTCTTTACGTCTTGTATGTTTTAAACTTCATTTATATCGTGAATTTCTTCTTTGTTTAAAAATTCCTCCGTATTTTTACCTTCGTGTTCGATATTGGTGTTTTTAATAGATTATCTTTACTAAACGACCTTCGTGTGTTCAACCCCCGCCATTTTTAAACTTCATCTCTATTTTGAACTTCCTCTTTGTTATAAACCCGGATTATCATAAGTTTTAAAATCCCACTTAGATTAATCCATCTTTGTTATGGGTAAAGAAATCCTTAGCCGTTAGTTCCACCGTCTAATGTTACTTGTTAGTGTTTGTAACCGACCAGCCAGTGTGTGTTGTTTTAATGTATAGAATATGTGGTGGCGGGACAAAGAAATTTCATTGTGTTTATGTAGAGACTATGTGGTATTTTAGTGGATAGAATATGCAGTGGTGGAACAAATAAGCTATAATGCGGAGGTATAACAAGGAAACCACAGTGTTTTTGTCGTAGTATACAGAATGTAGTGGTGGAACAAAGACTAACCTAACTTAACATGTAACCTAAACTAACCTAATCTACCCAACCTGTATCCTAATTTAACCTAACCGAAAACCTGATCTAATGTAACTTAACCTAATCTATATATATATATAATTTCACCCAAACTATAACGTAACCTAACCAATATCCTAACCTAACCTAACCAAACCTAACCAATAACCTAACCTAACCTAACCTAACCTAACCAGACTTGTAGCGTAGGGAAATGTGGCTTGCCCTTCCCTTAGAGTTAATTAAATACAGTATTATTGAACCTACTGGGTTTTTTTTGGGGGTAATTTATCTAGTCATTAATAGTTGTATTTTTGTGTTTTATTTATAATTTTGTGTATTTATTATATATTTTTATATTGTTTTTTTTCTTTATTTAATTATTAGTATTGGTAGTATAGATGAATGACTTATATATACGACACCATAACGTTTATACATATCCACCACTTACACACATACACACGTACAGAAACACCAACACTTACACACGTACACGAACACCTGCACCTACACATGTACACAAACACCTACACATGTACACAAACACCAACACCTACATACCTACAACAACACCACATACACACATACACCATCACCTATAATTACACAAACACCTACGCCACCACCTATAAGTACACCTACACCCACACCACCTACACCAGGAACTCGGTTCAGTGTGTGGCAGACTGGCAGCGTTGAACCTGACTTTTGAAGAGTAAAATACCGACCCACTTGTTGGCATCAGGCTGTACGGTGACTGGACCTTCTGCTCAACTGCCAAAGGTCGCCACGCGCAATGTTTACCAGTTGTTTTACGATTCTTACCTCTTTTATTGTAAGTTTATTCTGGTAGCCAGTTTTCTTGGATGAATTTAGAGCCATGGATGAGTATATTAAGTGTAGGGGGGCTTTGGTAGTACGTGGCTGGGAGTGTAGCGAGCATTGTGTGGTTGGGGTCGGAGTCCGTGTTCAAGACAGCTTACAGTTTGGAGTGAGATAGTGCGCGTGGCGGGTGTGTTGCGGCGTCGCTCTTCATGATGCCAGTGTCTGTGTTCTCAGACCACGCCCTTGATACAGTGCCAGGTGTTCCTACTGCAGTGTCTCACCTGCAGATCAGTGATTAAAAGTTGCCCGCGCGTGGTACACCAAGTTGATGTGATTATCGAGTGAATTAAGTGGTGGTGTAGTTTAGAGTGTAAGCATGAGGTGGGAGTGGTTACTACTGTTGGTGGCGGTGCTGGCGCCAGCCTGGGGGTTTATGGTGCTTGTACCTGACACCACGCCCGTGGGACATAAGATCTTCCTTGCTAACCTGGACGGTCCTACTCGCTACAAGCTGGACTCACGCTGGACAGCCAGTTACGTTCATAGACTCCTCCACGTGGACCATACTACGGGCGCTGTAGTGGTCAAGCGGCCGCTCGACTGTGCCGGAACCTTTTATACCAACCCTATCACCTTGTGGCTGGAAGCGTGGTCAGAGAGGCCAGGGGCACCTCTGGACTATGCCTCGGTGCCCTTACGCGTTGTAGTGACGGGCGAGGCGTGCCGTCACCACGCCGCCCTGCTTGAGCGGGAAGTTACGTCCTGGATAGACACAGTGGCGCTCTCTCTGCCCCTACCCGACCCCGACCCTTCCGACCCTGATAGGCTGTGTCTACGACGCTCTCAGGTGATCCTCAGGATCCCCTCCCTGCTGCCACGGACGATGCAAGCCTGCAAGCTGGTTTACAACACCGTATCTGATCATCGCCTAACTGTGGAGACTCACGGTGGCGACCTCGTCAGCCTTATCGACACTTGTCTGACGGGGATAACAAAGGTCAAGCTGGGACTGAGGTTGAGGTGTCCTGGGGTGGCGGAACCCTACAACCACGACATGTCCCTCGTGCTGCACAACGCCATCAACACCAACGAGAGACACATCCGTCGTATACGCCGCCAGATGCAGACAGCGGCTCCCTACTTCGAGCGCAACTTAGAGGTGGCGCATGTGATAGAAGAGTCAGAGAAAGGGACGACGGTGACCACGGTGACGGCTACGGATCCCGTGAATTCACCACTCACCTACTCCATCGAGGCGCTGCTGGACGACCGGTCACAGAGGATGTTTGAGATCGACCCCACAACTGGCGTTGTCACTACCAAGAGGAAGCTGGACCGTGAACTTGTCGATGTCCATTATTTCCGCGTCAAAGCTGTAGACAAGGCGGCGTCGCCACCTCGCTCGGCCACCACCAGGTTACAGATCAATGTAGACGACGCAAACGACCATGAACCAGTATTCGAGAAAGAGGAATACGATACGTCGGTCCGTGAGTCTACTAATGTTGGCTCCACCGTCCTCACTGTACGTGCGACTGACGAAGACACAGGACCCAATGCTGACCTTCGCTATACCATTTTAAATCCTTCCGGCGCTAACGAAGCGTTCCGCATAGAACCCAAGTCCGGCGAACTGTCGACCCGTCTGATGCTGGACCGTGAGGAACACTCTCACTACACGCTCACCATCCAGGCGGAGGACCAGGGTCCCGCCCAGCACCGCCTCACAGCCACCACACAGATCGCCGTCACAATTCTTGACGAAAACGACAATTACCCGCAGTTCACGGAGCGGACCTACACGGTGGAGGTGCCCGAGGACATCAACGCCGCCACCTCCCCGGTCATCGCCCACATCCAGGCCAATGACCATGACAGTGGTAAGAACGGCCAGGTGCGGTATGCAATAACTGCCCGCAACACAGCGGGACATTTTACAATTGACGGAATGACCGGAGAGGTCCGTGTGGCGTCCCATTTGGATCACGAGACCAACAGCCAGTACAGTTTGGTGATTCGCGCTCAGGACAATGGATCACCTCCGCGATCCAACACGACGCAGCTTCTCGTGAACGTGAGGGACGTAAACGACAACGTTCCCAGGTTTTTTATGCCATTGTTTCAGAAGACAGTCCAAGAGAATGTTCCAGTCGGCTATTCCATCGTCCGGGTTCAAGCGTTCGATAACGACGCCGGCGATAACTCGCTTCTGTCGTATAATATAGAGGGAGGTGGGGAGAACCTTCCAGTAGAGGTGGAGGATTCCACAGGCTGGATTTTGACCCGACGAGAAATAGACAGGGAGGAGAACCATCACTACACCTTCACGGTGGTGGTGCGGGACCACGGAGACCCGCCACAGTCAGCCTCCGCCACCGTCATCCTACAGATTCAGGACCAAAACGACAACGACCCTATCTTTGACCCCTTGAACTACGAGGTGTCGGTGAGCGAGAGAGAGTACCCCGGGACGCCCGTCATCACCGTTACAGCCACGGACAAGGACGAGAATCCACAACTCCACTACGCCATAACGTCGGGTAACGAGCGTGGTCGCTTCTCCATCACCCTGCAGAATGGACGAGGGCTTGTCTCATTGGCCCAGCCTTTAGACTTTAAGCAAGAACGAAGGTACATTTTGACTGTGACAGCTACTGACGCCGGTGGCCGTTACGACGTTGCTACCATTTACGTCAACGTTAGTGACGCTAATACCTTCCCGCCGCAGTTTGAGAACACACCATATTCTGCTACCGTATTCGAGGATGCCCCTGAGGGCAGCACTGTGGTGATGGTGGCAGCTTCTGACGGCGACACCGGAGAGAACGCTCGCATCACTTACACCCTGAGTGGGGAGTCCTTCCCGGAGTTTGTTATCCACCCTAGCACGGGCGCCATCACCACCACCAAGCCCCTGGATAGGGAGACTCAGGGCAGCTACCTTCTCACTGTTAACGCCCGCGACAACGGTACCCCACAACTCTCTGACACGACCGACGTCGAGATCACCGTCGTAGACGTGAACGATAACGCTCCTGTGTTCAGTGCGCCATCTTACCGAGCTTCTGTCCCGGAGGACGCCACGTCTGGGACATCCATCATCCAGATTAAGGCCAGTGACGCCGACAGAGGACCCAACGGCAGAGTTGAGTATTCCTTCGAAAACGGAAATGACGGCAATGGCGCCTTCTCAGTGGATGGTACATCAGGTGTGGTGAGGACGGCCCGCACCTTAGATCGTGAGACCGAAGACCAGTACTCTCTGGTGGTGCTGGCCGTGGACGACGGCCCCTCCAAGCGGTCGTCGTCGGTTACGGTGATGGTGGACATAGAAGACGTCAACGACAACCCCCCAATGTTCGAGACAGACCGCATCCAGCTGTACATTACGGAAAACTCTCCAGTAGGGACGACCGTAGGGGAGGTGAGGGCCAAGGACCCTGACACAGGCCCTAACGCCCGCATCCAGTATAGCATCGTCGGCGGCCCTGATGCCGAGAACTTCAGCATGGTGGCCCACCCCTCCGAGGACCGCGCCGAGCTGGTCACTCGCGTTGACCTCGACTACGAATCCCCCAAAAAGAAATACCAGCTGAACGTTCGCGCCATGTCTGAACATCTGAGGTCAGAGATACCCGTGACGATACACGTCGTGGACGTTAACGACAACGCCCCGGTGCTCTCAGACTTCCGCATCATCTTCAACAATTTCAAAAACCACTTCCCTGTGGGACCCATCGGCCGCGTGCCCGCCATGGACGCCGACGTGACGGACCAGGTGAGTAAAGACCTACGGTACCTGCTGGTATTAAGTTATCAGGCGGTACTGGGAGGGGGGGGGTAATTACTGCCTTCCCCACCTGTCAGCCTGCACCACCCTCCCCCTAGTACATTACCATACAATTATTCTCCAGAACACACGTGTGAATATTACCACACACAGGGATGGTGTTAAGTAATCCTCAGTACACTCATGTGCCACAACCAACTTTGATACACAGAGTATATTCGGAACACTTGTGTGTATCTGCTGGTGCGGTGCGTCATGTGTGGGTGAGTGTGGGAGGTCAAGTGGGTGGTGGACCTCGTGATGAATCTTCCCTAAGAGTGAGCTATCAGTTAGAACTAACATATACAGGTGGATGACCTTGTCCAACGCCTGCACACACACACACACACACACACACACACACACACACACACACACACACACACAGGAGAGAGAGAGAGACAGGCCCACCAGCAGGTTGCCCCCCTCCGACCTGTGATGTAGTAAGACGTTTTGCGAACAATGGTCAGCGGGTCTCTGCCAGCCTCTGTAAATTAATGTGCTCGGGCCTGGCTCCTTCCCTCCCTTCCTCCTGCGGCTGTGTGAGGTCCACTGTGAGGGACGGGGGTGCGTCCCCACTCTCTCTCACTCACTCACTATTACTGTATATCCCTCACTCAACCACTGTGAGGGACGGGGTGCGTCTTACCTCCTTCCCTCACTCACTGACACATCTACTCTCCTCACACACACACACACACACACACACACACACACACACACGTATATATTACATACGTATTCTCTGTTGTATTCCATTACTATAAAGAAGTAAATTTAAGTTATGCGATAAACCGGAGGATGAGCTTGGGTGGTTGTAAGCAATAAATCGGAACTTGTGTGTGGTCCAGGGGGGAGGGGAGGGAGTCTATACCCATCACTGACGTTCGGTTAAACCACCATTACCTCCTATTCTCCCCAACCGTCTCTCCCCACTTCTCCCCAACCATATATATACCGTTTCCTCCCCATCACCTTTCTGTAATTTCCCAAACGTGTCTCTCCACCTACCCTCCCCAGAGAGAGAGAGAGAGAGAGAGAGAGAGAGAGTACACACAAAAAACTATCTGCTTCTTTTTCTCGTTGCTAAAATATGGCGCAATGGATGAACAATTCTGATCACTATTTGTGAATCATTGACAACCGAACCGAAACTGATATTCGTTGTGTTCATTTCCAAACACATCGGCCCTGTGTGTGTGTGTGTGTGTGTGAGGATCATCGTGTGGGGTCGGCTGGTGGATGGCTCAATCACCAGGTGGTGGTGTAGGGGTGAAGGTCGCTCCCTGTCCCAGGTTAATTATCTCTGGTACTACACCCTATACCTACCCCTGCCACCACCCACCACCACCACTACCACCATCACCACTACCACCATCACCACTACCATCACCATCACCTGGGTTCTATGGGTTCTGTCCTCGCTAATAATAATAATAATAATAATAATGATAGTAACAGAGAGGGAGAGAGAGGTACCCGTGTTTGGCGTCTCATCACATCATTTAAGAGATGTTCTGTAGTGACCCGTTAAGTATGGTGCTCGACCCTGAGATGTTGTGAGGGGTAGCAAGCGTCCGTCACACCTTCCCCTCCGTCTCCTTCTCCCTGCCTCTTACTGCTCTCCGTCTCCTCCTCCCTCGGTCTCCTCCTACTCCACCGCCTCCTCCTCCTCCTCCTCCTCCTCCTCCCCCTCCTCCTCCGTCTCCTCTCTCCTCCTCCCTCCATCCTCCTCCTCCTCCTCCTCCTCCCGTCTCCTTCTCTCTGCCTCCTCCCTCCCCCTCCTCCGTCTCATCCTCCTCCCGCCACCGCCTCTTTCCTCCTCCTCCTCCTCCTCCTCCTCCTCCTCCTCCTCCTCCTCCCTCCTCCTCCCTCCCTCCTCCTCCTCCTCTTCCTCCCTCCTCCTCCTCCATCTCCTCCTACTCCACCTCTTCCTCCTCCTCCGTCCTCCTCCTCCCCCCCCTCCTCCCGTCTCCTCCTACTCACCTCCTCCTCCTCCTCCTCCTCCTCCGTCTCCTCCTCCTCCTCCTCCCTTCTCCTCCTACTCTCCGCCTCCTCCTCCTCTCCTCCTCTCCCTCCTCCTCCTCCTCCTCCTCCTCCTCTTCCCTGCTCCACCTCTTCCTACTCCCTCTTCCTCCTTACAGTAAGATTCCAAAGTCATCCTTCCTAGACACGTCCTCCCATAGAGGAAGTGTCCTTTCACTGTCAAGTGTTGAGGATTGAATTGGTTACCCAACCCTAACCTAACTAACCCTAACCTAACCTAACCATCTAACCAATGTAACTAATATAACCTAACCTAACCCTAACCTAACCTAACCTACCTTATCCAACACTCAGCCTTTCATTTAAGCCAAAGGCAAATCATTCTAGGACCAAACACACACACACACTCTCTCTGTCTCTCTATAAGTTCTAATAAGCCAAGGGTGTGTGTGTGTGTCAATGTGTGTGTGTGTGTGTATGTGTGTGTGTGTGTGTGTGTGTTCGTTCCTTCGTTGTAATTAGAATGCAGATTTGCAGAAAAGTACCATACTGACTCAGTGTTATAATTACTGTTATTTGTGAGCCAGAGTTGAGTTATTGGGCGACACAATTACCTGATTTTTAAGATATTTATTATTATTATTATATTGTGTATTATGATGTACAATGGTGATGATGAGTGATGATGATGATGATGATGATGATGCAATTTTACATATAGATGAAGTATAGGTAGGTGTTGTAACAGGTCACACACACACACACACACTCGTGAAGGACTCGTAGCCGTGTTAGTTACGTCTAGAAAAAGCTGTCCTGCAGGAGTTGACCTCACCTGCTGGTCCTTAGAGTCTCCTCATCTCTTTGTTCCTCTTGTCTGTGGAGGACGATCCTCCTCCCTCCAAGCTGCTGACGAAGGCCCGCTCAGTACAGTAAAAAGGAGATAGCTCAGGGTATCAGGTCCCTCTCTACCTCAGTCCCTACTCTACCTCAGTCCCTACTCTACCTCAGTCTACTCTACCTCAGTCCCTACTCTACCTCAGTCCCTACTCTGCCTCAGTCCCACTCTCCTCAGTCCTCTCTTCAGTCCCTACTCTGCCTCAGTCCTACTCCTGCCTCAGTCCTCTCTCCTCAGTCCCATCTCTCAGTCCCTACACCCTCAGTCCCTGGTCTCCAACATACAGGCAATTCATCCGTGAGGATGAAACTCTACCAAAAGCGAACTGAGGTGAAGTTGTGATGAGGGCAGTCAGGACACCATCCACCCGCTCAGGTTACCATTCCCGCCCTCTCTACACTCCCAGGTGGGGTGGAGAAGAAGAAAGGCAGGAGTGGGACAAAAGGAAGGACAGGATGAAAAGTGGAGGTAGGTAGGGAGAGAGAGAAAGAAAAGGAAGAAAGGAGGAAGGAGGAAGGAAGAGTGAGACCAGTTGAATAGGAGGATGTATAATAATGACGTGGGAGAATAAAAGAAATAAAGAGGAGGAGAAGGAAGGAGGGAGAAACATGTCAGTGTATAAAGTAAAGGTCCTCAAAGTCTAGCAAGGGAGAGAGGTAAAGGAAGGAGAAAAAGATCAAGTAAGGAAGAAGGGAAGGAGAGAACAGGAAGGAGGAGAGATAGAAGAAAGGAGAAAGTAAGAATGAGAAAAAAAAAGAAAAAAATAGAAAGAGAGGTGTCGAGAACTACTCATCTTACCGACAAGTAGGAAATGGTAGAAACGAGGGGAAATTGAAGTATTCATTAAGTTTTGATGCCATGACAAATTATTTAGAACCTGACACCAAGATGACAATGAGTAGTGAGGGACCGAGTAGTGAGGGCAGGTAGTGAGGGCCAGTGGTGGGGGTAAGTAGTGAGGCCAGAATGGTGGGGTGAGTGGGGGGCAGGTAGTGGGGCCAGGTAGGGGTGGGTGATGGGGGTGGTGGTAGGGGCCAGGTGGTGAGGGCCAGGTGGTGGGCGAGGTGGTGAGGGCCAGGTGGTGGGGGCCAGGTGGTGGGGGCCAGGTGGTGGGGGCCAGGTGGTGGGGGCCAGGTGGTGAGGACAGGTGGTGGGGACCAGGTGGGTGGGGGCCAGGTGGTGGGGACCAGGGTGGGGTGAGGGGACCAGGTGGTGGGGCCAGGTGGTGGGGGCCCAGAGTGTGGGGGCCAGGTGTGGGGGCCAGGTGGGTGGGGCCAGGTGGTGAGGGCCAGAGGTGGGGAGCCAGGCAGTGAGGCCAGGCAGGGTGAGACCCAGATGGTGAGGACCAGGTGGGTGAGGCCCAGGTGGTGAGGGACAGGTGGTGAGGAGATGGTGAGGATCAGTGGGTAGGGCCAGGTGGTGAGGGCCAGGTGGTGGGGCCCAGGTGGTGGGGCCCAGGTGGGTGGGGGACCAGGTGGTGAGGGGCCAGGTGGTGAGGCCCAGGTGGTGAGGGGCCAGGTGGTGAGGGGCCAGGTGGTGGGGGCCAGGTGTGTGGGGGCCAGTGGTGAGGGGCCAGGTGGTGGGGCCGGGTGGTGAGGGGCCAGGTGGTGAGACCAGGGTTGAGGGGCCAGGTGATTGAGGGGCCAGGTGGTGGGGGCCAGGTGGTGAGGGGCCAGGGTGTTGGGGAGACCAGGTGGTGAGGAGCCAGGTGGAAGACCAGATGGTGAGGGCCAGTCAGTGAGGCCAGGTGGTGAGGAGACAGGTGGTGGGACCAGGTGGTGGGGCCCAGGTGGTGGGGACAGGTGGTGAGACTGGGTGGGTGGGGCTTAGGTGGGAACGAGGGCCGGACAGTGAGGCCGGGTGGTGAGGACCAGGTGGTGAGGGCCAGGTGGTGGGGCCCAGGTGGTGAGGGAGGGCCAGGTGGTGGGGGCCAGGTGGTGTGAGGGCCAGTGGTGAGGGGCCAGGTGGTGAGGGGCCAGGTGGTGAGGGGCCAGGTGGTGAGGGGCCAGGTAGTGAGGGCCAGGTGGTGGGGGCCAAGGTGGTGAGGGGCCGGGTGGTGAGGGGA